ACAGTGACTCCCGAGCATGCAGCACGAACCCACTGCAGGGGAACAGCGGTGCCAAGCAGAGATGATAAAAAATCAGAGACAGGAATGGATACAGAGAACATCACAAGCCAAGCAGCAGACAAAATAGAAGTGGAATCAGAGGGACTGACGGGAACACACAGATTTGTTATTTATTATTTATACCCTGACTTGATCTTCCACATGTTAGCACACACTGGCAATCCCAACATGCTCCATGTTACACAGGCTCAGGAGAGGCTGGGGAGTTCATCACAGCCAARCAGCTTTGGGCCAGCCCTGCCACGCTCTGGAGTGTGTTTCAGTGCTCTTATGTCAAAGCAGGTTGATGGTGCTCAGCACCTTTTGTAACAAAGCCTTAGGGTTTTAAGCAGGATTTATTTTTTTTTAAAGGCATGCTGGGCTTTCCAGCAAGGCCTGGAACCTCCCTGAGCTCTTTAGCACTAATGTAGTGTTTTAGCTTGCCTCGTTCTACAGAGCAAAAGAGAACAATTCAAAAAATAAATACTACYGAAAGTTGAAATCAGCTCTTAACACCTCTAGCCTGTTCTCCCTCACCTCTGGGCTACAAGCCAGCAAAAACTGCAGCTACCTCCTCCTGTCGCGTTTTTAACGACAGAAAACAGAAGAGCAGGAAAAAGACAAGACAAGAGGTGGGAAGGGTTTGATAAAATCTCTCAGGCTCTGGCAAGGGGCAGCTCCGTGCACCTGCACACCCAGCTCAGGGCACAGGAGGCACGGGGAGAGCAGAGCTGTCTGCTGAGCATCCCCGGTGTCCAGGGCTGTGGGATGTCACTGCAACCCCAAAGGGCAGCTGAACCTTCAGAAATGCTCCTGCTGCTGCTCTCACATGCAGCTCTCCATCCTGTGGCCCTGCTGAGCTGGCTGGAGGTGMAGGRCAYCCMGARGGRGTGAACTCCTCTGGGKTTGTGCCAGGTGCCCCCCTTGGCCYGGTGCACAGCCCCCCGAGGGGATGGAGACCAGCAGGGACACTCTGAGCTGTGTCCCCCTGCCCTGCTCCCTGTGTGTCACCTCCCTCTGCTCCAAGGAAAGCACTGGGGCACAGCTTCACCCTGCCTCGTACCACCCCAGCTCCCAAAAAAACGAAATACAGGGAGGGGCAGCCGGGCTCTCGAGCCTCCCCTCCAAAAAACATCTCTCCTCCAAAAAAACCACAAAAAACCCCAAATACTACACTCCAAAAATACACCAAAAAAAAGGGTTGGGGTTTTTTTGTTGGGTTTTTTTTTTTTTTTTGAGGAGTGCAGGGAGGGAGTCGGGTGCTGGATTCTGAGTTTGGTACAGCAGCAGCCCGGCTGTGCCAGCACTCCCTGCCCTGCCAGGGAAGCAGCAGCATCCTCTCTCCAGAAGCCATGGCAACGTGCAGGGAGCTGGCCAGGGGCAGAGCCAGCCCGGGGAAACCTAAAGCAGCACTGACACCTTCAGGAACGGGAGACGAAGCTCAACAGCAGCCTCGCCTTGTCTTTTCCCTGCGCTGCGCCCCGCGGGGCTCAGAGCCTACTTGGGAGGAGCTTCCTTCTGCAGCTGGTTCCTGCGGTCCAGCTTGCTCATGACCTGCGTGATGTCCACGGTGGTGGCRGCTTCTCGGGCTTTGGCCTCTTCCTCCATCTGCCGCAGGATGATGGGGCTGGGGCTGGAGCGGAGGTGGCGGCGTCCGAACAGACCCGTGCTGGGCAGAGAGAGGGGARGGASAGGGGGTTACARAGGGGAAGGGCACCAAAAACTCCYYCYTGGACAGCAGRRYTAGCCAGGAGGATGARCTCRGACACAGAGGGAGAAATGGTTTAAAGCAGGGCTGGGGGACTCTGTGTCACACTGAGTTATAGAACTGATAAAAGTGTGAAAGTCCTGCCCCCAACTACACCACTCGTGTTGGGATTGCACTCAGCTCACACCTGGTGTGAAACCAAAGGACTCCCATCCGTGGAATCTGCTCCAGCACCCTGAGGAAGGTCAGAACAGGGACAASGATGGGTGTTTGTGGTGTCTGTGATGCCCCTAAAGCATCATCCAATACCTGCTTCAGCAAAACCCCTTCCCCGGCAGTGGAACAGGTCCAATCCCACTCTGGATGAGGTGCAGCTCTCCAGGGGTTTGGGGGGATCCAGAGAAAGCACAGAGGCAGGATCACCACAACCAGCCAGTGACCTTGTGCTCTGTGATTCAGGGGAGAACTGACCAAATCAGGCCAGACAGCAGCAGGGCTTTTTCCTGACTGACTTGAAACAGGGTTTAGATGGAACAACCAGGGTGAAAGCCCATCATTACTTTTTTTTTTTGCTTGCCAGGTTGATGAGTGGGAGAGGAACAGAGAAAGGAACACCGCCCAGTCGAAAACTGCACGCTCAGCTTCAGGAGCAGCAGCAGCTCCAATGGCCTGAATTTGATTTACAACCTTCATCTTGCAGGGGAAAAGCCATTTCCAATGCCATCCCTGGTGCCAGCTGTCTGTCACAAGGTGCTACTTGTTCCCACATGCCTGTCACCTTCCCTTACACCCAGGGGGAGCAGCTTTGTCCAGGCAGAGCTGAGCAGATCCCATAGACAATCCTGATCCTAAACCTTGCTTCTGGCCCTGCTCTGGCAGCCAGTGTTTTGTGGGCAGATTTCCCATGGCCAGAACACAGCTCCAGGAAAGGAGCCATGAATTAATTCAACAATCACAGCCTTTCTCCACAGACCCAGCAGAGAAATGACCAAGTCCATTCCTACAGCTCACAAGCCCCTTCCAAAGGGTTCATGAATAAACAGCACCATCAGTCTCAAAGAAAAGCATTTTCCCAGTGAAAAAATTTATTTAATTAAGAGAACATCTAAATCATAGTAATTTTGCTGCAACCTGGGCTTTTTCTACCCTTGCTACAACAAGAAAAGCAAACCCCACAATTACAGCCGGTTTCACTTGCCTTTTTTTGACACCCTCTTGTGGCACAACAGCCTTGGCCAGCATTTCCTTGTATATTGGAGACTTTAAATAGCGGCCATAGGAGTCCTACTAGGAGAAAAAAAAAAAGAGAAACTGGTAGTTATGGGCTGCAAACACCCTTATTAAAATCACCACCAAATACAGCTGCTCAGGAGCCAGCGAGGCTGGGAACTGGATAATCTCCCCCAGCAGCCCAAGGGACTTTGCATCTTTCAGGCAAATGTAGCTATTTAAACCAATATCCTTTCATCTGGCTGTAAAATTCCCAGGATTTCTCCATCTCACAATAAAGCTTCACAGGTAAGACCCAGATCAAAAGATCTGACTGAAGCTTAGCCTGGGCCAGCAGGGTCTYGGAGTCACTGCAAGGTGAGGAGTTTGTGTTTCAGTAGATAAACTTTTCATCAGTAGGTGAAAATCAGTCCAGTCCTGCTGCTTTCAGGAGCTTTCCAGTCATGCTTTTCAGTGCATGARCTGGTGCCCAAATCGAAATTAGAAAGGACTTGCAGCAGGGTGCAAATTTGTCCCCCCAACACCTCGGGGACACTGCCTTGGAAGGAAGAAGCAGAAACAGAAATGCCTGAAGCAGTGCATGCTGAACTCAGCAAATTGGAGGGATTTTTCAAACAAAGGGACAGCTGATAGCACACAAAGGCACGGGAAAGGCCCACAGGGYTGGAATCCCCCTCAGGCTTTGGCAACAAAGAACAAACCTTTTTCATCAGCATGTAAATGTGGGTCTGGGCAGCATCTAGAACRTAACGATGAGGGTGCTCCAGGCCTTTGACTGTGATGCCCATTGTTTTGCCATCGATGTTAATCCAGCGCCGAGCCCCTGGAGCCAGGAAGAGCCTGCCAGGAGGAGGAATCAACAGTGCCATTAGCAGTGGAGAATTCACAGCTTCCTGTCTGTGCCTGAAAGGAAAAGTCCCTTCAGCTCCCTGCAGCAATTTGCTGTCCTGATCTTGGGCAATCGATGTTCTCTTCACTACAGACTGCACTCACTTCCCCTTGCACACAATATTAACCAAATTTTAGCCCGCTGGAAGCAAAAGGCCTCTCTCCACTTTGCTCGTGGCAGCCTCAAGAACTTTGCTATTCCACCCTGATATTTAAATTACATCCTAAGACTGMAATGGAACAGAGAACAGAGAGAAAAGTAATTATATAACAAAATAACACTTCTGCTTTCATCTCCCAAAACTCCTTTCCCAGGTGGAGACATAAGACAGCCACATTTGATAATAGACTACACGGAAAAATCTCAGGAATAAATCATTTGGAGAGTAAGAACCTGTGGAAGGTGATGAGACTCAAGCACCAAGAGTTTAAGAGTATAAAATTTTCACTCACTTGTAGATTTCTTCTGCTTTTTCTTTGACCCTGGATTGGTCTCCATACTTGAGATCCTCACAGGCTTCCCAGAAGCCCAGGTTTTCTCCTGCATGACAAGGACAGAATCAGCRAAGTGTGAGATTGAGAGAACACAATCCCGTTCATTAACTCCTAAATTTCTTGGGCTAAGTACAAACTGGCCCCAAATCAGTCTCTCCAATTCTTCAGCCACTGGAGGAGGAAAGCAGCTTTCCCCTGTTCTCTGCCCACTGACACCTCCCAGAACTTGTGAGTTCAGCAGTTCCAGCTTCCTTGGAGCAGTCACAGAATTGTGGAATGGTTTGGGGTGGAAAGGACCTTAAAGCCCATCCCATTCCAGGGCAGGGACACCTCCCACTGTCCCAGGCTGCTCCAACCTGGCCTTGGGCACTGCCAGGTATCCAGGAGCAGCCACAACTGCTCTGGGACGCTGTGCCACCCTCCCAGGGATTAATTCCTCCCTGAAACGTGACCTAAACCTTCCCTGCCAGTGTCACATCGCGGGCTGTACCGTGTRTCCCGTGCCACTAGATGGTACCGCCTGCCCTGGCTGCACTGCCACAGCCACTGCCACCCCAGCCTGGGGACAAAGGGACACTGCACACCCACCGCTGAACTCCTTCTTGAGGAAGAGCTGGAAGTTCTGCCGYCCCTTGGGGTCCCGGATCAGCTCGCTGAAGTTGAAGGCCCAGCGCTCCACTCGCATCCTGGTGGGCACCTCCACCCTGCACGGGGAGAGCACAAACTGCACTGCCAGCTCCTCTCCTCAGCAGATTCATTAAAGCCAAAATGCCCTGTGCTGCAATGCCAAGGGGCTGCTCAGCATTCTCTTGTTTTGCAGAGTGGTGTAATGAGCTCCTGAAGTCAAGCCACAGAGTAAGTTGTAATTAAACAACTTGGGCCGCTGCGGGATGAGGATTTAACTGGGGTTTATGCAGCTCTCACAGTGCCAGCCCAGCTTTGCCCTAAGGTCTGACTCAGTCCCATCCTGGAGGAGGCACTGGTTGCTGCCCAGGGCTCTGCTTCTSATGAAGGCATCCCCTGGGGATGTGTAATGGGATGCAATCAGTCTGTAACAGGATTGCTGCTCTCACAACCACTGAGATGTTGTACACTCCGAGCTCTGGGATGCCACTGTGTMATTAGCAAATCCTACCCAAAGGGAAAACCAAACCTCAGAGAAGGGATGGACCACCAGCACGTGCCTCCATCCCAAAGCCTGTCCTGGGGGGTGAGCACACTGAACCCTGAACTGGCCATATCCCATTCCTGTGCTGCTTAGGGTGGGCTCCATTCATCCTAGAGGGGATCAGACTCATCCTAGAGGGGATCAGACCCACCCAGAGGGCTGAGTGCTCCCATCACCAGCTCAGCAATTTTTGTAACCTTAATGAAGGCTCCATCTGCAGCAGGCACTGCTGGAGGATTCCCCACAGTTTCTTTTGCATGGTTGAGGTAAATTGGAATGGGAACMCTTCCCTGCTCATGGGCAGAGATCAGGTATCACAACGAAAATCACTGGTTCCCTTTCCTGATTCCTATCAGGGTAAAGGTCACTGAAACCACAAAACAATACAAAACAATACAAACACATACAGCTTGGCATTGAGATCCCAATACTCGGGGTCATCTGATATCCAGGGGTTGCTGGGSAGACACCCAGACAGGATGGGATCGTTGGAGAGGTACTGCTCCGAGTACTTCACAACCCTGCAACAAATCCACAGTCAAAACGTTAATTTGGAGACAGAACTGCAGCCACTATAGCCAAATAAAACACAGATATACTACAGATATCCTCAGAGGTGCAGGACTCAGCACAGGGATCTGGAACGTGGCCCCTGTCCTCCTAGAAAAACTGATCCATTGGCTCAGTTAATCTTTTCCATTTCCCAGACAGAAGTGTCCAGGTTGTCTTTYGAAGCACTGAATTTGTCACTTCAARTATAAKGAKGYAAAAGATTCTCCTCCATCACCTCCTKSTGCTTTTTCATTTCAGGGAAGTGGGACTAARCCCCCAAACAGTTCCTGTCTCCCTCTCCACCCAGCTGGGCAGGGTCTGATCCTGCACCATTCTGGGGAAAAAGGGCCAGGGAAAGGCACACAAGGGTTGTGCTCACTCAGGTGGGTTCTCCACAGCCTTTCTGTGGGCCAGGGGAGAACTCAGGGAGCTCAGTTTCTCCTCTCCTCAATCACTACCACAGGGCTCATTCCTCTGCAAGTGGCTCTGAAGGCTTGGCACAAAGCAAAACTCTCTCTCTCCCAGCAGGAACCAGACAAACACTTCTCCCACCTTCTAACTTGGCCAGACTTGTAATTACAACCGATTTCACTAATGTCCTGGAATTTCAGCTCCCGCCTCCCCTTTTTCATTCTTGGGGGAAAAAAAAGAGAATTCCTCTGGTTTCTGTGTTTAAAATTCCTTCCAGGCCGAAGTGCTGGGAGTGCAGTGCCCAGGGCCCGTTGCTAACAGGCACCTTGGCACTGACCCTGCACAGAGCTGGCACTCAGCTGCTCCATCCCCTTCCCCAGTGGGAATGCCAGGGCATCCAGCACATCCAGCATCACCCAGTCCATGCATTCTGATTAAACAAACCTAAACCTGTCAGCCCAGGCAGCACTGCTGTGTCCTCTCCATGATTAGTGCTTTGTAGCTCCTCCTAAATCAGTGCAGGGCTCTGAGGCATGCACACTGCCCAGTTGCTGCTCATATTTTCATTAATGGTAATTTGATTTGGGCCCAGCCCTGGCAGCAGAGTTGAAAGTTCCTGAGGATTTTTGATCCAGGTGATGGGCATTGTYCCACCTGAACTAAGGAGTGAAAAGCCCCAGTGCCAAACCTTTAAGCACCACAAAATCCCTGGAAAGCAGCCAGGTGTCCCCAGCTCCAGCTCACAGTTTGGGAACTCGAGGCAGGAGGGTTTTAAGTGACTTTTTCAATGACAGACAAAATGAGCAGAACTGCTGGTACCCTGCACACCAAGGCTCTCAGAAGACAAACTCTTCTTCCATTTCATCCATCCAGGRCTGTCCTCTCCAAGAAACTGGCCTGAGCACCTTGTTTATCTCAGATCTGACAGGAATATCAGGTGAATGCACAAATCAGGTGCTGTGGGCTGCACCTCAAGGTGCCTGGTCAGCAACAGCAGGCTCCAGGCAGAAACGCCTCAGGCAAACCAGAGATGCCTAATGCCAGGGCTGGATGCTTCATCAAGAACCAGATCAGGAAACACTCCCAGTGGGAAAGGGAATTGCTGATTAATTGCTGGGATGTTCATGGAGAGGCCACTTCCTTTGGTGATACAGAATAACCTGAGTTAAATCACCAACTGTGAGCATCACCACGGAACAGGGATACTTGCAGCAGGGAATCCAGCCCAGCAGCAACAGCATCTCCTGATTTCAGAGAAATCTCAGCCCAGGGGGTGACAGCAAAGCTYTCTTCATCCTGCCTGGGACTCTGATCCCTCCTCAGCCTCCTGGCCCAGACAGCCCAGACAGAGCTGGGCCACCACATGGATTCCCTGGCTGAGTCACCAGCTGCCAGAGCAGACAGCTCCATCAGCTCAGTGGGAGATAAGCACTGGGGACTAATTAATGTGTGGACAGAAGAAGGAAATCAGGACTTACCCTCCAAGAGAGACAGAAGATTTCACTCTGGTCTTGGTGATGGCCTGCTGGTAGTACATGATCTGAGGGGGATCAGACATGGCCGTGGTTAGGAGCAYGGAGGATTGAAGATAAAGCCTCTCTGAACCTCAAACAGATCCTCTCCCAGGTACTGAGGCAAACAGCAGCAGGAACTGCTTCTTCCCTAATTACTGCAYGTCCAAGGAACCAGAGAATCCCCAAAATGTCTCAGCAAAATGTCTGCTTTCACCGAGCTGACTGCAAACATCAGAAGCGCACTTCGCAACGTGCAAGTAATTAAAAAGCACTCCCCATGTTCTATAAAAATTGAATAATAGCCACCATCCTCAGCACCTACAAACGCTCTGGATGGTTTAGCATGTAATTATCATTGATTCTTRGCTGTCTCTGCGCCGGCGCCACTGTGATTTCCCCACCACTAATTTGGTTCTGTTGGATTTCAGCCCTGGTGTCTGTCCTTGCCCGAGCCTTCCCGTCACTGGGAGAGCTGCTGGCTGCCTGCACTGGGAGGGGATGTCCTGAAATCACACGGAGAAAAGCTCCATGTGATTTTCTGCTTTTCAAAGACCCCATCCCCTGCACGGGGGTTTTGAGCCACACTGATGTAAGCAGCTCATACAGAATGGACACCTCAAAGTGAGGAAGCACCACTTACCTCTCTCCTATAAAACTCCATCGTATTTTTCTGTAAAATTAAAAAAAAAAAAGAAAAAGAATCATTACATTGGGATGGGCGCTTACAATTGCATTTTATTTTTTGAGACACCGTTGCAGGGCGGCCGCTGYGCAGCGCTCTCCAATTAATTCTGATCACAATTAAAATCAAACACAGCAGCTGAGCTAATCAGGGTATCATCAAAGCTAAGAGCATCCCCAACACGGTAAATTGTCCCATTAGCTGTATTTACTGTTTAGCATTGCTTCTCCCATCACAGGCTGCCTGCGTGCCTTCAATTAAGGGGTTATTCTAATGGAGCTAAAATAGATTCATTTACGAGACACAGATTAGATCATTCAATATTAGCTAAAGGAGACAGGAACCAACACATTGCAAAATATAAACACCACAATTAAAAGCCTCAGAAGCMGTATCTGCTGTGCAAAGGGTGTTTACAGTTGTGATTTGAATAACTCAGACTATGTTACATGTCACCCACAAACGAGCAGGCAATTGAAGGCAAGGAATTAACTGTGGGGTGTTTATTCACCCAGCTTGCTTTGAAGCACAGTTACTCCGTGTGGAATGAGCTGCAGAAGGCACAAGGACAGACAGGATAAGKCGGGGATGCTCCCAGATTTAAGCCTTGAAAGGCTCAGGCAGGGTTTCAGCTCCCGTTTCAGCYGAGATCTGCATTCCAGAATTATTATTAYTACTATACATAATATATAATAKATAATAAATATGCAATATATAACATATGGTATGTAATATATAATATATGGTATATAATATACAATATACAATACATAATAATATAATTATATTATTATATATACATTATATATTGTATATTATATACCAAAATATATATTTTATATGAATTATATATTAATTATATATTATATACCATATGTTATATATTATGTACATATATATATTATATAATTTTTAATTATTATTATTATTATTTAATGAATTATTTACCCCTGTGGAAGGGCAGGGATCTGCAGAGCACCTCAGTCAAGTGCAGGTTGTGAGGGATGAGGGATGGAGCATCTGGTACCAAACTGCCCCAGCAAGCCCTGCACCCCACAGAGACCCCAAACTGCCCCAGGTACCCCCACTCTCCCCTCCCCAGACACCCCAAAATCGCCCCTATTTTGGGAAAGGCAAGATGCTCTCCCAGGGCTGCTTTGTGAGGACACCACCCTGGGTGCAGATCTGCCTTGGCACGTTCACCATCAYCACCAGCCCTGCTCAGGAGGGAGGAATTCTCCTCTCCAGGGCAGAAAACCACGCACATTTTGCTGGCACTGGGCTCTGAGATGCTCACTCACCATTTCAGCAGCAGGAGCCAGAAATGCTGGATGCAGATGAGCCAATCCCTACAGCACCAGCACAGAGCCAGCCCTGACCCTGACACACACCCTGGCCAGTGTGGCACCCAAAAAAACCCTTCACAGTGATGTTGTGAGGGGAGGAGGATTTTCCTGCTGGAAACAGTTCTGAACAGGCAGCACAGACCATCTCAGCAGGACAAACAGGACAGCAAAAACCAGCAGGGATGCTGTGCAGGCCCTCAGTGTGAGGGAGGAAGGACTGACACAAAAAGGGACAGAAAAAGCTCTTGGAGAGCAGGAGGTACAACCTCACAGGGCTGTACAACCTCTCCTGCTGATTCAGGAGCTCCTGGGGCACCCTTAGAGATGGAGGAACTAAGGAGCATCTTTTTCACCCCTGTCTGCTCTTGGCTTCCCTGATTCCAAGCCACTTCCCATGCAGGCACCATTCCTTTGCCTCATTGCTACAGAGCCCTCATTGTTTCAGACAGCCTGCAGAAATGGAAGGGAAAAGCAATCACCTGCCTGCACAGAGACATTTATTGCATTTACTGGCCCAAAGTGTCCTGTTTGGACACCTGTGCTTGTGCTCCAGGCCAGCTGCCTCCTGCACTACTCACTGTCTCCTTGGGGAATCTGAGATAAAAAGAATCTCAGATATAAAGAATCTCAGATATAAACCAGGCCTGATCAGATTTGCAAGTGCCAGCTGGAGAGTTCAGTTTGATGGAATTTAACTGTGGCTACAGCATTGATTTCAACATGCTAAAATCATTCGATGGTTTAAAAAAGAAACCTATTTTTCTTCCATTTTTTCATCAAGTGGGGCCTCAGCCAGGCCTGGTGCAGTGGGGAARGAGAAGTGGGTGCTGGCACAGCAGSTCSAAGGCAGCTCACGTGGSAGGAAAGTGGTGTTATCTCCTAGAGGGGTCAGAGAGGCTGGCAGCACAGCACACACACACGAGACAAACAGCTGTGGGAAAGAGAGAGAGAGCACAGTGAGTTAAATGTCRCAGAGAGACAGAAAGGCATCAATGAAAACACCACCACAATAGAAAAATCTGTAAATCTGTAAATAAGAGGGTTTTTTAAGTGCCCCCCTCGTGCCACAGTCTATGTGGATGTCAGCAGGGTGGGCAGCTGGTCCTGAGAAAACTAGGGGGGATTTGGGGGGAGGGATTTGCTCCCCCAGAAAAGGGGCTGAGCACCTCAGAGCACATGGGAGGCTGCAGGTGCTGCCCGTGCCCAGCCTCTCCCAGTTCCCAACCAACACAAACTGGGAGGAATCTYAGCTATCCCACCCCAGAGCTGCACCTCATTTCACTTCCCTTTCTCCCACAACCAGTGCCCGGCCCCACTGCTGCCACAAGTGACCCTGAGCAATGTCCCCTGAGYGCTGCCAGTTGTCCCCACCCACCCTACAGCAGTGCCCAAGTGCCCTGCACCACCCACCCYTTGGAAGGAAATCACATTTGGAACAAAGGAGTCATTTCTCATCATGAGATTTTCATTTTGCAACGCCCTTAACGAGTGACTTCTCGCAATTTAGGCTTCTCAAGTGACTTTTCCCATGAATCAGCTCCCCAGACCAAGGAGGCAATGAGTGAAAGGCCTCAGTCTGTCTCAGGTGGGTGCCATGAGCTGTTCCACATCCTGACACACCTGAGACACCCGTGGCACTGGGGGCTTACTCCTCTTTCTATCCCTCTCCCTTTCCACTACTTCTTTACTCATAAAATAAAAGAAATAAAAGGGCTTTCAGCAGCTGCTACTTACAACAAGAAAATAAAATACACCCCAACCCTAAACTTTGCTCCTTTTCAGTCTCTATAGCAACAGGACACAGCTGGCCAAAGCAATTATCCTGCCTCTGGCTGCTGAGATGTTTAAAGGTTGTTATAAAAATGGGAAGTTGTGGGAATACTGTGAGTGTGACAGCAGCAACATTTGCATTTAATCGCTGAGAGATGCTCTGACTTTGTTTCCAAATGAAGGGCACAAATACAGGATCACTTCAAAGGGCTGATGGAGGAAGGGAAGAGCAGCTCCAGCTCCTCATGCACTGACTGGCTCTGTGTGATTGCAAACTCTGAACCAGTTCACCCAGTTACAGCCCTCACMGTCTCAATTCATTGGTTTTGTTTCTTTAAGGTCTACAATATGCATTTTTTGGCAATATTTTGTGTCTCCTACCCACCACACCAACTTCTTCATCCTTTTACTACACATTAACTACCCTTTGGGAGGTATTGTAATTTTTTTTGAATTTGGATCTCTGCACTGGACCTTTACACCCCACATTCAGCACTAATAAAAAGGCAGCAATGAGCACCTGGAGATAGAAAATTCCTTAATTCAGTTTCACCAGCAAAGAAAACACACCCTGTAGCCAAGCACTCACACTAACTGGTGTGACAAGAGAGCTGACAAAGTATTTTCAAGCCAGAAGGAGCTGCCAAARCCTATTTTGAGGGCCTCACCTCCTGGGTGAGAGAGCCTCAACCTCTGGCCTGTTCAGCTGTTAGAGCTGAGCTGACACACTCAGCCTGCAGTGTCCAAAAAATTACAATCCCAGGGATGTTTTCTGGGTTCTCCCAAACAAATTCAGTAGGTGTGTAAAAAAAAAAAAATAAAAGAAAAAAAAGGCCTGTCTCACCTGGTTTACCTTGCTTTCATTGGGATCTGTGACACGATCTAATCCGTACTCGAGGACGTCCAGCATGCCCGGCTGTGGTCAACAAGAAGCATCAAAGCTTTTAACTCATTTGGATTTAAGTTTCTGGATCACACAAATGAAGGAGGAGACTCCCAGGACCCCACTGGCAGCAGCTCCCAGCCTTGGAAAGCTCTGATTCCCAGATTTGGGAATGTCCTACTCAGAGCAGAGGTGCTGAACCTCTGTCCCTTGCACCTCAAAGAAACCAGGAAAGGTGGTGGGGACTGAGGGCAGGTGTGAAATGACACTTCCCTGGCACACAGCCCAGGGGCCAGGCCAAACCCTTCCCTGGCACATAGCCCAGGGGCCAAACCCTTCCCACAGGAGACCCTGTCCCAGGTGGCTGCAGAGAGGGCACCACGGTGTCACTGATGCCACCCTGTCACCTGTACTCACAGGAGTCCTGTTCACCAGCCAGTAGGCTCTCTCCTGGCAGTCCAGGGCRTACCTGTCCTCCTTCTTCCGCTCCTTGCCTGCCCTGCAAAGCCAAAAACAGGGGGATTTGTGATTTTTGCCCCCCTGAAATCGGTGGGATGAGAAGCAGGGCACACTTTCAGCCCGCCCTGCCCCAGGTCCCAGCCTGCCTGAGCCATGCCCCGATGGTGCCTCCTGACCACATCCTGCCCTGGCTAATTCTGGGCTGCAGATCATGTTCACATGGCCACACATGACTCTGGCTTTTGAGAAATCATCATCTTCCCGAGCTGAGCTGGGAGCAGACACATCCCCTTTTGCTTACAGACACAGCTCTCTGGTAGCTTTTGACTGCCAATCCTCTGCTTGCCCTCAGTCCTGCTGCTTCACATTTATCCCTCTCTGATATCCCCGGGCAGAATCCAAGGATTGCCACCCAGAGATACATCCTGGACACATCTCATCCCTGTCTCACAGTAAAGCAGGGCCATTTCTCAGAGAAACTACTTGGAAATGGTTCTGATGAGTGTACCCAGGCACTAAAACCCAAATCACCTCTAAAATTAAATAGAAATGGCACYAGCATGGTTTGGGCTTGGACCAACGAATTCTTTCCCAGAAAAATCCTGAGCCCAATTTGGGACTGAGCATGGGGAAGGGAGCATTCCCAACAGGCAGTTTGCATGTGGCCTCCCCGCTGTGGTTAGCAGGGTGGATGCTCTGCACCAGTCTGACCATCAAACAGCCTCAGACGAGTTTAATCTGCTGCTTCAGACACGGTATCTAACTCTGAAACTGCAGCTGGCATCTCTGAGCCCAAGTCTGACCTCAATTTACAAGAACAACAGTCTGGTGTTTAATGAGACAGTTATCTGATGAGTGCTCCCAGCACTTGGCTGCCATCCCAGGGAAGACACGGGGAATTTGTGAGGCTGCTGAGCTGCCGTGCCAGGAGGTAAAAGAAGGTACAAGAGTCCACTTCAGTAGGAAAGATCTCTAAAGGAGTCATTCCATCTCAAGTTCACCAACTTTGCTGGGAATTTGAAGGCTGCAGCTCTAAAAATCGAGTCATTTTAGCTGGGTACCTAAGCATGCACTGCACAGTTTGCTCCAGAAGTCCCTGCTGGGAATATTCACTGTTTCCTGACTCAGGGCACTCCTCTGAGCTGAGAGATGYGCAAGGAACTCCTGACCCAGACCCACAGCAGCCCCAAGTCCAGCACCCTGATCCACAAATGCTCATGGACAACACTGAGCTAAATGAAGGTGTCTCTAATGAGGGCTTGCAGCATCAAACCCCAGCTCCTTCACAGAACCACATCAAGAGCAAAACCTAAACCTCCCCTCCGAGCCATTTCAGAGCTGCAGTTGGTGTTTTTAACATGATTTAACTGTGCACTGAGACAGCCAAGCTCTGCTCCTCACACCCTCCCCTGTGATGCAAACAAGGCAATGCAACTCACTTATACTGCTCCTTGGCCTGCATAATAACAAAATCCCACTTGTAGTTTATTTTTTGATTGAGCATGTTGTAATGTTCCTGGAATAAAAATAAAAAAAAAAAAAGCAGTTAGTGTGAAAATCCTGACCAGGGCACTCCCATGCTGGGGTTTTCTTGACTCTCCGTAGTTCAACGAGGCCAAAGTGGCAACTGAGCCAAGAAATCCGGATTATTCTGAACATAATTACAAGAATTGCAACAGTTCAAAAATGCCATTGCAAGGAGAGCAATTACCCGTGCTAAAATTATAATTGACTTCACAGTAGTTTTCTGTACTGGTCGTTTTTCACTTGCAAAATGTTGGCTTTTGAGCTGAAGAGGTGATTTTTTTTTTGCCATGCTCCCACTCATTAGTAACAAAGGGCTAAAGCTGTAGCAAATGAGGGTCTTGTAATGGAACAAATGCAGYGTCTCCTCACCTTTTCATATTCTTCCAAAATCCCTTTCCTTTTAATGTTCTTCTTTGCTAGATAAATTGCTGTGGAGGGAGAAGCAAATCAGCAGTCAGTTATACTTAGAACAACAAGTCCAGGAACAATTAAACATTTACCCACATGACAAATACAAGAGCCTTTGTCTGCTGCATATCTTCCCAGGCATGAGCTCCAGGCTCAAAAAAGCCAAGTGAAGAAAAAAAAGGGGAAAAAAAGGAAAAAAAAAGGTGATTTTAAGCTGTCATTGATGCCCAGGCTGGAAGCAGTGAGGCAAAACTTCTGCCAGAAGCCACCCTTCCCTTGGGAACTCAGCGAGGATTCCATGGGTCAAAGGACACTGGACCAAACCTTTCAGGTGCTGAGGTTCCTCAGAGTTTGACCTCCAAGATATCTGAACACAAAAACTTTCTGAAGGTTTTATTAGAACCTGAGGCCAGTGTTTTGCTCAGGTTTTAATAAAARCATCCCAGTCTAAACCAGGCTTTTCTATTTCCTCAGAAGATGCACAGCATAATGCAGATAAAAGCCACAGAGGACAACCTTGGCACGAACACAGAACAAACCCACTGAGCAGCCTGACCATGACCAGCCCTACAACAAAAACCATCATAAACGCAACAAAAGATTTATAAGGAAAGAGCCATCAGGAGATATTGGAAGTCACTGTGCTTTCTATAAAAAAGATCCATCTCTGAAAGCTTGGCTTGATCCAAATCTACCGGAAGAGAGCCTTGGGCTGAGATCCAGGAACACACTTAACTACTCAGGGAAATCTAATCTTGTGTTTAAAGTCTTCCCTACCCAACAAGGTAATTCAGATGTGTTCCCTGGGATGGATCTTAGTTGAGCATAAGAGCTTAAGCACTTTCTCTCATCAAGGCCACCACAAGATGGTCACACCCTCCATTCACCATTACTGAGAGCTATTCACTAAATATTATGATAAAAAATGCCAGGGCTGGTCATTGCCCTTGGGGACACAGCACAAGAACATGAAGAGCAGGCGTGGGGCAGGACTGTGTGACAAACCCACAGCCCAGGACAGCTGCAGGGCCACACTCACCATAGTCTGTGTCATCAGCAGCCCAGCTCTGCACCGGCCAGAAATAGGGGGTCTGCAGAAACAGGAAAACAGCTTCTTGTTAGTGCACAAAGACCCTGAGCTCATGAACTCCTCATCATAAGCACCACTGTGGGTGCTCTGACTTCCCACAGCAGTGCAAATAGTCATGAACCTCAATAACATCCCATCATTACTGTGCTTTTTGTGTATTCATTATTCAGTACCCCCACATCGTTCTATTTCCAACCAGCAACTCCATTTGCTACTTTTAATACCTGGAAGAGAACACTCCTTTGGAAGAAAGCACACCTTTTTTAAGTTGAACAATTACACCAATTTCACTTGAAGAAACGATCACAGTTTCCCTGTCAAGTGCAATCTGAGTTTTGTCTGTAGATCCCTTCCTCCCTGCATGGCTACACAGCTCCTGGGAACTGCCCCAGCTGCCTGTTTTTAATAAAAACTGGTGCTGAACTCTCTCACAAAAGCTTGGAGAAGCTGCAACTCACTTGAAACCTGTAGAGGCTCCCATCTGCCCTAAGGGTGAGGTTCTTTGGCTCCTGCAGAGGGTAGATATATCCATATTTGACAAACAGGTCTCCCAGGTGGAGTGCCTCTGAAAATGGAGAAGGCACATGTTTGGATTGCACAGAAACACTTCACTGGAAATAAAAGTGAGCTCCTATGCAGGGGAGAATTCAGCTAAAAGGTTTTGCCTCTGGAGATCTTAAAAGTTTTACAACTCAAAGCTGAGAAAGCCTCTGTTTTCACATTTTTACCCACCTTCTGCAGTGATCTGCAAGCGCTGAAGAATCCACTGCATTATATCATTACCTGCAAAGCAAAGAAGAYGTCAGGTACTGAAATCAGGAGGGTGCCCAAATCCATGGGTGGAAATGAGACCTCTCCAGCCCTCACCCCTCCCTGTGCTCTGGATCCCATTTTTTTGCAGATGTGCTTTCAAATGCCCCACAATGCAARGAGGTACAGATCAAATGCACTGCTGGGCTCCCACTGGCCATGCTGGCACCCATGAAGCATCAAACCCTGGGACAGAGAGCCTGAGGCAGGCAGTGACCTTGGGACAGCACAGARAGAGCATGCACAGCTCACGTGGACWGARCAACACCTCAACCCTCCTCAGAGGCTGAGACAGGGCTTCAGGAATGCAAGGTACACCTTTCACACCCAGGGAAGGGGAGGTTTTGCTCCACCTTGCCTTGAAAGAGTCACTGCAAAGAACTTCTGGATTCACAGAGCACAGCCCTATCTCAGTTTTACAGGAGATCAGTTACCATACTCTGAGAGTCCTTTAAAGGGTAGAAGGGATGCCCAAATCTCAGACCCACGCTGCAGTGGTTACAGGATTTATCAAAAGGAACAAGATTTCTGCATTCACACACATTTTCTCTCCCTCAGTTCTTTTGCTGAACTGTGAGCAGTTGTACCCATAGRCAGCATAAACTTCCAGCAGTTTTAGTTTCACATTGTGGGGAGCAAATTTCATGAACCTCTTTCCATTTAAAGAGGGCAAAAATGCACTTGTTCCCTGATCCATTACTGGCCTTTCCCTCCAAACCTCCCCTAGGACTGCAGACTGAGGTGGTGACCTTTCTTGACATTGCAGTGATGACTTAACTTTCTAATAGGGGCTCAGAGCTCTTATCCTACCGCCCGCTTCCTGAAATAGATGAAATTAAAGGATTATCTCATCACTCATTTCTAGACAGCTCTCTCTGTAAGCACTTTCCCCCAAAGGTGCACATTTAACATTGAGGTTTATTTGTGAGCTATTTTACTGACTTTCACTGAATTTAACTAGTTAGCTTCCTGCACAGGCAGTGCTCTTCCAGTGGATCTTTGTCCCCTGCTCCAATATCTCCACCACACCCTCATTAAACATGAATCAGTCTCTCTTGCAACACCCAGAAGCCAATCAGTATCCATGCAACTTGTGCAGCACTAAAAATATCAGTTTGGAGAGGGATGAGCAGCACGCAGGGCGAGTGGAAGCCACTTGCCTCTCCGAGGTGGACGAGAATTTATGAYTTGTGYAGGAAGGAACTTCAGTTAAGGAACYAGAATAAAGCAGACAGCACACAGAGAGGATGCTGCCAACACATCAGCTACCCATGGGCTTTTAGGAAGTGGGATTTTACKCTGGGCAGACGTTGAGAGAAGTTCTCGTTCCCCTGCACTTCATCTGCGTTGGACGTCATCTCCAGCACGGGGAATCTCCTCTTTGTGCTGCCTTAACTATTCCCTGACAGCTCTGGGAGGCAAGGCCAGCTCCTTTGTGCAGGCAAAGCCTCCACCCAGCTCAGCTGCATAATAGCTGTGTAAGCCAGGATGTGGTTTGTATTGCAGTGCTGAGAGCAGCTTCAGATGTGTCCACGTTCTCCTGACCCTTTCACTGACTGCCTCTTCCCATGGGCAAGTGACTTCAATGCTTCTGCAGCCTCATTTTTAAAAAAAAAATCAGGGCAAACGACACACTGAGCCTACCAGGCTTTGCAAASAGAGCAGGGAAAGTCTCCTGACTCGCCTGGAGCAAACTCACTGGTTTCAGTGGGAGTTTTTGTTCTGAATTTCAAAGTGCTGAAGAAAGACCGAAGCAGGAGGAGGAAACTTGGGTAACGGAGTAAGTGTGAATATTGACAGCAGAGGATTCCTCACAAGAGCTTTTGTGGAGGCTCAGAGAACAGGGAAGCAGAGGCATTGATGGTGCCTGGTGAAAGGAGTGGCAGGCACAAGGAGGCTGTGATAAGAGCTGCCTGGAACACTGTACCTGACACAGCTCCTGTCTGCTGCTCCTTCAGCCTCCTTGAAGGAGGAAAAGCTGTCATTTACAGGCAGAGCAGTGGGTTGAGTATTTTGTTCTTTTCCTGCCTACTCAAGGAAAATTATTACCAGCAGTAAACATTAAAAGGGAGACTAATTGTTTATTGCTCATTTCTGAAGTACCATCTTTCAGTCTGCCTCCAGGCTGCTTGTTTTAATTGGAATTTCATATTTATCTTTATTTGTGATCCAGCCTCACTGGGAGTACAASAGTTCTGGAGGCTGCAGCATCTCCTCACCTCTGTGCTAAGAGAAGACAAGRTCACTTGAGTTACCCCCATGAGACAGCTAAAAGTGCCTGGGGATCAACTTTTGTGTGTGACTCAAAGAGTGGGAATTAAATGAGACACGAGTGAGAATGAGATAAAGGGAGCAGCGACATTTTAAATGATGTACAGCAGATATTTATTGGGAACACAGCACTGGCTCTGGGGTCCACAGTTTTTCCCTGCTGAACTTGGCCCAGTCCCCTCCCTGAGGGAAGCTCTTACCTGTCACAGCGTGTGGGATGCTGGTGATCATCACAGTCTGGGCCTGGGTCTTGATTCCCGTGTCAGGGCTCTGCATCTCCATCATGAGCACTTCAATCTGCAAGGCAGGGGATGGGATGGATGATAGAGTGGGCAGTGGTGTGGCACAGGAATGGACACAGTGACCACAGCCCTCTCCAGAGGTGCCACCTGCAGCCCATGGCAGCTCACACTGACTGCAGGGTCACTGTCACCAGACTTCTTTTATTTCTGGTTCCAAATTATCTTTTTTTTTTTTTTTTTAAGATAAAGATTTTCAAAGGTATTTTCATCCTCTTTATCTGACTTCCTACCAGCACCATTCCAAAAGCATAAAGATTTTGCTTTCCCTTGGGATCTGTGCTGAGACAGACAGAGTTGGGGCACGCTCCTCATCTCCTCATTTTTAACTGAGTGCCATGAGAGTTTTGGGAAAGATGCTCTTTTTCTTGTCTTCTGCTTCCAGAGGTATTAAATTAAAACTGGTCCAACAGGACCAATTTGGTCTCTCCACACATTTGTTTTGGGTGAGGCTGTAGTTTTTTAACTGGGAGCAGAGGATTTAACGAGTGTGACTTGATGACAYGCACATAATGAAGGGTATTGTCTTCACAGGCACCACAGTGACTTTGGTCCCAAGTCTTGCCAAGTTCTGTGAGGATTTAAGCTGTAGTGACAGGATACACTCTGGGCTTGTCAGTAAAACTGGATTTTCAACTACTTTTAAAGGCAGTGACTAATTCACATTAAAATGGAGAAGCCCGGTAAAATTCAACATAAATATTTGTATAAATACTTACATGAAATATTTTAAAAGAGCAAACCCAGCCCCAAAGAGATGAAAATATGAAGGTATTTTTTTAATCTTTTACCAGAACCCACAATTCCAGCCTCAGAATGTTCAAGGCTGTGTGAGATGAGGTGAGGCAGGATGGTCCAGGCAGGGCACTCATTTAGGAAACTGGGATTTCAAGCAGAGRCAGGTATTTTGGGAAGTCACTCTCTGTAACTGCACAGTCCTTTCACAGAGAACAGAGGTGCTGGGGGCAAACACAGCCCTGCTCATGCCCTGTCCCAGTGCCATGGCCACCTGGCAGATGCCACCCAGCAGATGCCACCAGGATGCCACCAGGATCCCACAAGGATCCCACCAGGATGCCACCAGGATGCCCCCAGGCTCAGGCAGAACTCGTTCCAGGCAGGCAGCACAGAACATCCTGCTCCAGCACGGGGCTGCTGCTCTCCAGGTGGGCTTAAGAGACAGATCTTCAACCAGCTGAGAGCAGGGAATTGTCTCAGAACACCCTCCAACCCTGCAAGTTCCCTTCCTTTAACCAGCACCTCTTCAACTCCTGTCATGTTCATACTCTGCCACACTCCCTCTGTCACTGGAGAAATGACAAATATATTAAAAAGCAACGAGCTGCTCCTGGGGGGTGCCTGCTGCTCTGGCTGCAAACCATCCACTTGCTGATCAAAACTCAGCCTGTCTCTTGCTCTTCTCCCAAGGGAGCATTGGATTACAGCGAGCAGGAGTTGCTATCAGCAGCAGGGAGGCCAGGAGGGCTGCTTCAGACACAGCAGGAACACTTCCTCGCTTTGCTAAGGGCTCGAGCACATTTTGTCACGCTTTCAGCCAGGAAAGAGCTGTCTGGTTTGAATTTTGCAGAGCCAGAAGCCACTTCCTGACGCTGGTTGATGGGTGGAGATGTACACAGAGGTAAATATCAGGACTGCCAGGCTCTGGGGCGAGCTCACCTCACAGAGCCTCAGGGAGATTCCCCTTCAGATCAGCTGGAATCTCTGCATGGAGGTGAACTCACCCCAAAAGCCACAGAGGAGAAAACAGAAAAATTGCCTGTCCCCCATCTGATTGCACAGAGTCACAGGGTTCAGTTCGCTGACTGCAAAGCAAAACTCCAACTCCCATAAAGGAACAAAAACCATCACGAGTTCCAGGTACTGAGGCTCTGAAATGCAACAGCAAAACACCGCCAAGGTGAGRAGTTCAGCCCCTCTCAGCATCAACCCAGACAGAGGCATCTTTGCTTCAGACATCAGAAAGATCAATTTTCCCAGCAGGCTCCTGCTCCCAGCAGAGTGCACGCTCCTGGTGCTGTAATTAAACACCTGCTGCTTTTTCCATCCTATTTGCCTGGTTCTATCCCCCCTCACTGCCTGCTGCTGTAGGATCAGCCCTACCTGCTCTGATTTCCAAGGTAACAAACAGTTCTCATCCCAACTCCAGCCTCTGAGGGCTCATTCAGTTGTTTTCTAGGTCTACAGCTACAAACCTTGATTTGCACATTGATGGAAAAAAAAAAAAAAAAAAAAAAGAAGAAATGAAAAAAGTCCATTGTTAACCACCTAAAACTTCCTGCTTTTTCTTAATTAAAGCTGAGGGGAAGTGGCTTGTTCCCACTGAGCGATCTCTCAGCTAAAGGAAGTAAATCTGTGAGTGGGGAGGGCAGGGCTGTAGCTGGCTCTTCCCAGTCTGGAGGGGATTTTTCCCAAGGAAAGATGCAGCACTGGCATCTCCCAGCCTGGAACAGGGAAAGGGAGGATGGGATGAGGCTGAGATTAAAGCTCAGCTTTAGCCATATCCAGGGCCTCACTTAAACAGAGAGCAGGAGTCTGCTGAATTCCCTGGATGCCCAGGAAGACGAGGGCCATCAGCTGCTGGAAAATCTAAGCCTGGAGAAGCAAAACCAGGCTGGAAAAGCCCGCAGCCATGCTGCAGATCCCAGGACAGTYCCCCTCCGGTTGCTGTGCAGCTTTGGGAAAAGCCACCAGGGACCAGAGTGAGGAGGAGGCAGAGGAAGAAGGCATCCATCAGCTCTACCCACAAGGTGTGAGTCACAGTGCGGCTGATGTAGCACAGCAAGGAAAAATACCCAGCCCAGCAGCTCGTGGAGAGCCCAGCTCTGCCAGCTGAGGCCCAGCAGAGCCAGATCTGGCTGCTGCAGCAGGCACAGGCACCCAAGAGCTTGGGTTCACTCAAGCTCTCGCAGCATCCAGCCAAGTGCATCCAGCCAAAATGCATTTCAGAGGGTTCCTCGCTATCTCAACACTTTTGTGCTGTTCTTCTTCCCACCCAAGATGGTTTACAAGGGGGAAAGGTAGAATAAGACAACCTAAATGTTAGCATGAGTATTTCATGGATGAGCAGGGCCTYGGGGGCCTCTGATCCTGCCACAGCTCAGCCATAAAGACCAAGCTCCACGTCCAGCTCCAGTGGTGCAATGCAGCCTCACAGCAAGAGCAGGGCACTGCCCACACCCCTAAAATAACCCCCTGTCCTCTCCCCGTGTCCAGGGCAGGATTGCTGCTGTGTCACCAGCTTCCTGCTGGAGAGGAGCACAGGGAGGTGCCTGGTGAAGGCACACGGGGCCCACAACTGCCAGCAGGGCAGAATCCCTGCGTGCAGCTGGAGCAGCCCATGGCACAGCRTGTGTCAGCTGGCAGCAAAGCGTGAGCACAGGCTTAAATAATTAACAAAGCTTCTTTCTAGGATTTTAGCTCCTCATGGGTCTAAGTCTGTAAGGTGCTCGCTGGGTGCACGCTGAGCATCYTCAGCTCCCACCATGGGCAGCCAGGAAAGGTGCTGGATGTTTCCAGCAGCTCTGAGAACSTGGCTGTCAGCACAGACCACACTGCCATGGAACAGCCAAGGCTCCAAACACGGCTTCTCCGAGGTCTGGAAAAAACAGAGCAGGAATGAAAGCAGAGACCAGAACCCAGGGCTTTCGCTGACCACCAGGAGCTTTCCTTCCTTCTGTAACGGGGCTTAGTCTGGCAGTGCTCAGCCCCCGCGGCTGCTCACAGTGTGAGTGGAGCACACTCCAGAACAGTAATTCGCTGTGTTTTGACTGATCTTCCCACCTGAACAACTCAGAGCACCTTGCAGAGACTGCTGCACTCCCACAGAGCAGCTGAAGCACAGCTGCTGGCAGCTGTTTTCACAGAGAACGCAGCTTCTCCTCTGCACCCCCGCACACAACTCCACCGACTATTACTCAGTACAGAATTTGGCCTGGAGTATTTCCCTTGGCAGGGCTCCTCAGCCAAATTTACCCTGCAAGACACAGCACCAAAGAAAAGACTCTCTTTACTTCCTCTGATGTAGTAAATACAGTGTGTGCAATGCCAGGCTCATACCTTGGCACTGAATATCCCCAAATTCCCCCCGTTTACCCCTGGAATCCTTAGGTTGTGGGCGTTGAGGAAAGCTAGCTACAATTCGAACAGCAACTTCTGCCTGTACTTGTCACTGGAAATTCAGTTAATTCCATTCAACAGGATAAGCCACACTCAGGAGAGGTGGGTGGGAGAAAAGCTAGCTTAACACTCTGCTTTTAAAAATCTTCAAATACCAGTTACACTACAACTGGCTGTGCTTTGAATGCACGCTACAGAAAAAGCCCACCAAATGCTTTACAAAATTACACATCACACCCAAAAGCGTGGGCATACATCACCCACTCCTTCTACTGCTTCTGGTCACAAATACGYGCATTTCTGAAAAACTGGAAGGAGGCAGAGAGCAAACAGTTGGCAGCAATACACCCTCTGAAAGTGGACATCAGATGAAACCACTGGGAACACACACACATGGACTGACTGGACCAGAGCTACACTGATTGGCCTGGCATGGCAGATGACAGATTTTCCCCTGGGAAAGGACACGGATTTGAGAGACTTTGATGAAAAATAATGGGAGAGAGGGAAAACATATCAGGAGCATCGTTTAGCTGAGGTTAAACTACAAAACATAATCAACATTACAGTCCGATTTCCTCCATCACTTCGGCACCCGCTGCCCCTCCAGCCCGCCCCCGCGAGCTTCCAGGGATCCATCCCKGGGCTCTGCAACAGGTCATGGCCCCGAACTCCTGGGGATGGGGCTGTCACCCCTCGGACTCCACACGCCCAGAGGTGCCCTGGGGAGCCGAGCAGGATGCTATGTACACACATCACCCAAAGCCAGCGCTGCCCTGGGCATCGCACCGCCCCGCCCGGACGCGGCCCCGGCGTGCCCATAACAGCGCGGCTGAGCCCTCACCTTTTTTAGGAAGGCCATCCGCGGGCGGTAGCGCTGGCCCTGATCGAGCCGTGTGACGGTCATGGTGGCGGTGCGGAGCTCGGTGCGGTGCGGAGCGGAGCGCGCTGGCGGAGCGGCCCCGGCCGGGCGCACCTGCCTGCGGACACACACAGCGGCCGGGGGCGGCGCCACCGCTGCGCGCCGCAGCCAATCAGCGCCCGCCGCCCCGCGCTCATTTGCATGGGGGAGTGGGGCCGCCGCCTGGGGGCGCTCGTGGGAGCGCGCGGGGGGAATGGCATGGAATGGCATGGAATGGAATGGAATGGAATGGAATGGCATGGAGAGGAATGGCATGGAATGGCATGGAATGGAATGGAATGGAGAGGAATGGAATGGCATGGAATGGCATGGGATGGAATGGCATGGAGAGGAATGGCATGGAATGGCATGGAATGGCATGGAATGGAGGGGAATGGAATGGCATGGAATGGCATGGGATGGAATGGCATGGCATGGCATGGCATGGCATGGCATGGCATGGCATGGCATGGCATGGAATGGAACGGAACGGAACGGCATGGAACGGAATGGAACGGAATGGAATGGAATGGAATGGAATGGAATGGAATGGAATGGAATGGAATGGAATGGCATGGCATGGCACGGCACTGCATGGCATGGCATGGCATGGAGTGGAATAGCATGGAATGAGAGGGCCAGGGGCTTGGCCCTGGGTTTGGAGCAGGGGTGATGGCCGATTGTCCATGAGGGGTGATGCGGTGCCTGGGGCAGCGCTGGCAGTGCTTCGTGTGGGGTCACAGTGGTCACAGCATCGGCCACGGCTCCCCAGGGCATGGAGGGACCAAGGGATGATAAATTCCAGTAGCACAGATGGGCCCGGAGGCAAAAAGCAGGAGGAGAAAGGGATTTGAGAGTCGAGTCAGGAAGCAAGAGAAAGGACAGCAAAGGCATGCCAACATTTTGACAATGCTAGTGAACAAAAGTGTTTTCATCACTGAGAGGGGCAGAGGGACAGATACTGGCAGGAGTACATGCAAGTAATTCTTAGGACATAATAGACAAATGTGTAAAGAGCACATAAGGAGGTCTAGCTCATTTTCTTGGTTTGGTAGGCCAAACAGGAAAACCTGATATCATCTACAATGGTTCCTCCAAACCATTTGTAGTTTAAAACAAAACAACTTGTTTTGCTACACAAGTGGTGGTGGAAGGACTCAGAAATACTCCAGAAAAAGTGACCTAAATAAAGGATTGATAGCAAACAACTGCCCAAGCCTCACATACTTAAAGGAATACAAATGGTCATTTCATCCCAAAGTACTGACTTTAACAGTTCCACTGAGGAAGACAGGTGTCTTATTAGCAAGAAACATTTGAAATCTGGGTCTTCGGGTGAGTTCAAAAATAAAACAGTCTTGCAGGAGATCCAGGAGAAATAGTTCTGAGGAGCTCATGCTGAGGTGTGAGCTCTTCAGCCTCGTTGAGCTCTGAAGATTCCGGTAATTTTAAATCCTTCCGATCCCCCAGACACCCCCTCACAGGTCAGGTGGGTTTTTTTCCATTTCCAGCTTTCTCTGACAAGCTATGTTAAAGCTTATGGATATTCCTCTATTACAAAGCTACTTTGTGTAACTTCTACAGAAGATGTCCTACATAAATTCAGCTTTGTTAACATCTCTGAGTGACCCACAGCACCAAACACACGGTCAGAGATGAGCTGAGATTTCACCTGTGCCCAGGTGAACCACCCCAGCAGTTAATGCTCTTGGGCAGAGCTGCCACGTGAAGCACGAGGCATTTAAATCAGATTACAGAGGCTTGTCTAGGGCAGACACTCCTGGGCCTCTAATCACAAAACCCACACTTGTGGAAAGCAAAGAATTCTCCAGTCCTTGACACAGCCTGGCTGGTTGATGTGTGAGTTTGTTGGTCCAGAAAACAAGGGACTTGAACAGCAGGAAGAGTGATGGAGAGCGGTGGCAGTAGCTGTGTAGGCTCTCTCTGGATTTCTGACTCCCCACGCTCATCCTGGCCTTTCTGTCCCCCAGATAATTCAGAAGGACATTCCCTGGGGAGTCCCTTTTACCTCCCAGCACCTGCTTTGCACAGTAAATACAGGGGTATTTATGTAGCTGCAAGTTTCCATGGGTGTTCACACCTCACGCAGGGGGTAAATGATGCTGTGGTGGAAATACACTCATGGTCATCGTGTTACAACACATCACAGTTCAGCAGTGAGTGTCCATGGGCTCTCCAGAGCCCACAGATCCCTCCCAGCCTCTCATACAGACTGTGTCCAGGCTGAGGAAAGATCTGCTGAGAGCTGGATTTTATCCCTCTGGTCTCCTTGTGAAGCTCCATAAGTTGTGATCTTTTCAACAGACCCACTCTCGATTCTCGAGAGTTTCTCTTGTGGAAAGCACTGCCAAGGGAATCCCCCCCTTTTCTTTAAAGGTCACATTTCCTACGTGGTTGCCCCTTCTTCACACATCAGAAGTTGAATCATCCAACACAAAAGGCATGCGGTGAGTAAGCTACGTTTCTATGTGAGGAAGCTGGGGACAGCCCTGAGGGGAAGGAAGGGGTAACGTAAGTGAAGCAACTACATGGCAAGTGGAGGCTCGGTTTCAGCACGCAGTTCCTTCCAGCAAGATTTCAAAGCAATTTACCAAAAAAAAAAAAAAAAAAGATAGAATTGTGTAAATTGTGGCATAGAGGAATGGCTTATGCTCAGGTCTGCCAGCAAGGCAATGGTTAAAGGAATATCTCCAGAGTCCATTGTCCTGCCTGGTGGGGCACAAGTGCTCAAAATGAGAGGCTTCCTTAGCAGCCTCATGGGAAGAGCTGTGAGCACAAACGGGCAGCATTTGCTTCCCGTCACTCCTGTGCTTTCCAGGAAAGCTAAGGAAAGAAGTGGCAAAGAGGAAGGAAAAAAGCCAAGCAGAGAAAGACCTTATGCACYCTGCCTTAGAGATGAAGCCTGGCTGCTGGGGTGGGAGGATGCAGCTGGCTTCACACCTGACCTGGATGAAGCTGAGCCCTCTCCAGGGAACATCGTCATCCAGGACAGGAATAGCCMCTCCCGCTGTGCAGCACACTCAGAGCCACGCTCCTGTGCCAGGAGATTGGGAATGGAGTACCTGGGAGCTGTGGAGAGCTCCTCATGTGAAGGGCAAAGTCAAGGACTCTCCATGACTTAACTGACTCGATTGTAGAAACTCGGGAGACCACTGCAGATAAGGAGGTGAGATGAGAGTTGAGTCAAATACCTTAAAACTGAGTTTTAGAACTCAGAGCAGAGGTCCAGCATAATTGTATTCTACATCTTTACCAAGAAGGCCCTTCGGTTTGAAATAATTCATGTGGAGTTTATCTCYATGTTGAACTATCCTCTAATGTGTGAACATTAATACTCACTGCAGGTTTTGAAGGTCCTTCCATCTGGGGCCAAGTAACATTGCACCTTGCAGTGTCCATGTTTATTTCTTCCTTTTTCTAAGTTATGATTAATGTTGAGAAAAAAAGAAAAAAAAACATTGACAGGAAAACTCTTCAGGTATCAAAATCTAGGAGATAAGAGACAAATGTTTAATGCAATCTTTGCACTACAGTGGTGCAACTGAGGGTAGTTGAAGTTAATTTATTAAATAAATGACAAAAAGAACAGCTGTGCTTAGGGATGGGTTGAATGAAGAGTGGTGTTTCCAGTCCTTGGGATTGTCAGAGCTTGCAGGTCCCTCAGTCTATGAGTTGTTCTAACACTCCCGAGAAGGATTGCCAAAAATATCTTTGCTGCTTTTAACTCAGTCTCAGATAAAGATTCTCACTCTCTTTTGCTTTGGGCGGACCCAGGGGTGTTTGCTCAGCCTGGTGCTGCAGCCCTGGGAAGCTCTTCTCAGCCAGGCAGAGGAAGGACGTGCCAATTTTTCAAAGTGTTTTGACAAAACGTCTCTTTTTCTGCACCGAGAACAAAACCTGCTTAGCTGGCAAGCAYCATCCTGCCCCCCTGACCGAGGGCTGACCTCTCCGGGCCACTCGCCCGGCCGCTTCCCTGCAGCCACGAGGGCGACAGAGCCTGGGGATCATTTCCATAGAATCCCAAATTCCCAGAATCGTTAGGGTTGGAAGRGATCTCTGGAGAYCATTCAGTCCAACCCTCCTGCCCCAGGGTCATCCAGAGCAGGGGACACAGGAACAGGTCCAAGTGGGTTTGGAATGTCTCCCTAAAGGGAAACTGCACAATCTCCTGGGGTTGATATTTCAGTGCTCTGCTCCCTCCATGGATTATCTCAGAAATCGTTTCCAATCTAATTAATTCCATGTTTCTGTGATTTYRTTTCTTCTGCCAWGGCTACAGTTGAGAGGACTGGMGGACATAGTCTCGAGCTGAGACAGGAGAGATYCAGATCAGAGATTAGAAGAGTATTTTTCACTTTGAGGGTTTGTCAGGCCTTGGAAGGAGCTGCCCAGGAAAGWGGTGGAGTCACCATCCCTAAAGGTGTTTAASACACATCTGGACATGGTGCTGGGTKATGTGGTTTTGGGGTTACACTGGCAGTGAATGGGTGGACTTGATTTTATAGGTCTCTTCCAAACCTTGACGACTCCACCCAGGCGTTCTCCACCCTAACTTTATTTTCCATWACAAAGCACATTAAAATTATGATCACGTGCATCTATAAACCTTTAACTCCATTACACAGCAGCACCCTGTGCCTGAATGTTCTTTCACKGTTTTTCCTGGTGAGCAGCCTGGCACCTGCCAGGAGGTACAGCTTCCTCCAAAGCAATTGAGCAGCATGTAATGAGGACCAGCAGGGACAAATATTCAAGGATGCAGCACGGTTTTCCTGAAACAGGAACAGATGGAAAGCAACTCCTGTGAGTTGCTGATGACTCCACCCAGATGCCTCTGTGCTGCTTCGGTGCTTCCAAATCCACCATTTCCAGRGAAGGACCAATCCTGCAGCCCCACCCATGCCATCATCTGGGAGAAGTCCTTAGAGGCAGGAATTGCCTGAACATGTCTTGGTTTGGGAGGCTTTGGCTGCTAAGAAGTCATAGGTAGGACTTCAAGATTTCAAGGAACRGTGCTTGAAATCTGAATTTCAAGCTCAAGTTCAAAGCAAGTTGGGGAATTTCTTGAGGAAAAGGCAGAGGTTAAGTTAGTC